AAAAACAGGTTACTGACAGCATATGAGAGGTGAAGCTTCTCTTGGCTAGGCATTCAGGAGGATTTGGAGGAAGTGACATTCAAGCTGAGACAAGAGTCAAGTGAAGGAGGAAAGGAAGTGAGTTCTGGGCAAAGAATAAAGCATGGACAAATACTGGGAAGTGAGAGGGAATGAAGGGGGAACAGATACATCCTGACCTGTCCTCAACAGGTCATGTTTAGGCTTGACATCCCAATGCAATTATTATTCACACTTCCTTTCACTTTTAAAAGGGTCCTGACTGGTCACGCTAGATATGGTGCATTTGAGAAATATGAGGTTGAGAGGGAAGGGAGCAGAAGGTGAGCTACAGAGGTAGGCAGTGACCAGATCACATAGGGCTTCAAGATCACCTTTAATCCAATGGACCCTAACCTCAGAGCAGGAGTGCTATATGGAGTGAACTGGAAAGCCATGTCCTGCCTGTTTATGGTGGCTCTACCTAGTTGCAGCCTCATGTTGTCTCACTCCCATTTTTCAATAAAAGCCATAAATTTGGATTTCTCTAAGAAATCTGCCAATTTTAAAATGTCATCAACTCAGGGCGACTCGGTGGCTCAGTTGGTTAAGCGGCTGACTTCAGTTCAGGTCATGATCTTGCAGTCTGTGGGTTCCAGCCCCGCGTTGGGCTCTGTGCTGACAGCTCAGAGCCTGGAGTCTGCTTCCAATTCTGTGTATCTCTCTCTCTCTCTCTCTCTCTCTCTCTCTCTGCCCCTCCCCAGCTTGCTCTCTGTCTCTGTCTCAAAAATAATAAACATTTAAAAATTTTTTAATAATAAAATGTCAGTAACTAATCAAAAACAAATAAACAAACAAAACTATGTAGGCTAACTAAAACCTGAGGGCTATTACTCAGCCACCAAAAAGAATGAAATCTTGCCATTTACAATAACATGAATGGAGCTAGAGTGTATTTTGCTAAGCAAAATAAGTCAGTCAGAGAAAGACAAGTACCATATGATTACACTCATGTGTAGAATTTGAACAACAAAACAGATAAACATAGGGGAAGGAAATAAAAGAAAGAAAGAAAGAAAGAAAGAAAGAAAGAAAGAAAGAAAGAAAGATGGAAACCCAGTCCAGACTATTAACTATAGAAAACAAACTGAGGGCTGCTGGAGGGAAGGTGGGCAGGGAATGGGCTAGATGCGTCATGGGTATTAAGGAGGGCACTTGTTGGCATGAGCACTAGGTGTTATATATAAGTGATGAATCACTAGATTCTACTCCTGAAATCAATATTACTATAAGTTAAATAACTAGAATTTAAATAAAAATTTGAAACAAACAAGAATAAATAAGCTGTGAGTAAAAGCAATAGATTTTTTTAAAGGCTCTGAACTTTCCCTGGGGAGGGGAAATTCACACCATCAGGACACACATCTCTGGTAATCTCTCAAGACAGAGAAAGGAGAAATACCTTCCAAGTACCTTTCTCATGCATCTACAGGTGAAACAGGACAATTAATTTCTCTATGAGGTCATTTAGCCAGCAGGAAGGACCCCACTTTTGTGATCTCAGAGGTTGGGGATAAATCCTGGAGACCAACCCAAGTGGGCTCATCAGGAAGATCCCACAGATGAAGAAATTATTACTGATGCCTGTGACCAGCCTGAGAATGGATAGAGTGGAACATTCTCCAGCCCCCCCCCCATTTTAGGTGCCAGTCATATCATAAGTCCTGACAAGAAGGAGGGGACAGAAATGCTAGAAACTGGGGTAGCAGCACTATCAGAATTTACTACAAGTTTAGTTTCTTTGACCAAGTAGGTAAAAACTCTTGAGAAGGTAATGTTATTAGTTACAATACAGGGACAACTGCTGTGTTGAAGACTCAAAATACCAGTGCCTTAAAGAAGATTTCTCTTTCTTATAACAATATGAGATTATGGAGTCCATGGATAACATAGTGGTTCTACAGAGTTAGAACCCAAACTCTGTCTCACTTTGGCATTCTTAAGTGTTACCCTTGTCAGCAAAGTCTAAAATGGTGAATGGCACACTTCAGTTGGTAAAGATGGTAAGGAGAAAAGAGGTACACTTCTTCTCTCAGAAGACCAGACTCCAAAGTTGTTCACTCACCCTACTCATATCCCATTAGTCAGAAAATAGCCACATGGCCATCATAGCTGTATAGGAAACTGGGAAATGTGCTCTTTAACTGGGTGGCCATATTTGTTATCCATTGTGGCATAACAAACTATTCCAAAGCAGAGTGGATTATTTCCCACAGTTCTGGGCAGTTCTTTTGTTGGACTTGCCAGTCAGTGGCTGCAGTCATCAGATTCCAGGACTGGGCTGGAAGAGTCACAATGGCCTCGGGAATGCAGTTGTGCTATCCGCTGGGAGCCTTAGTCGTCTCTTCCATATGGCTGCTCATTCTCCAATGTGCTAGATGGGTATCAGCATGATGGTGTGAGGGTGGGAGCAGAAGCTGTAGTGCTTCTCATGGCCTAGGCTCTGGAACTCCAACACATCCCTTAAGCCACCACATTCAAAGTAAGCCACAAGACCAGCCCAAATTCCAGGGAGTAGAGATAGGCTCCTCCACTTGATGGAAAGAGCACAATATCCCAGTGCAAAGGAGTGGGATACAAAGAGGCACAATTCACTGGAGATTATAATTCTAACAATATTCCATGGTGGCCCAGATAAGAACCCTATTACTAAGTAAGAAAAGGAGGGTAGAGACTGAAGGGATTTATTTATTCTGAATCAAGGGACCCCAAAAAGTAAAATCAAAGGCAGACTTTCCTGTTTGGCTGCTTATCGTGAGAGATTTATGGCCCTGTTTATTAGTAACATTATGGTCATGTTAAGAGAATTTGTCACTGGAAATTATTTCTTTTCCAACCCATCATAAAACTCCTATCTGGCTGAGTTCGACACAAGCTTCCGATTCAATGATGCCAATGTGGACTCTGGACTCTGAGCCCACAAGACTTTAGCTGCTCATCCAAGAGCAGGTCCCTGCAGATACAGAGGCCCTCTTTCCTGGGGCATTTAAGGACTTCTGCAGATATTAAGGTCATTTATCTTTTAACCTAAGAAAGGAAAAAAACATTTTTAATGGATTTTAAAGTCAGAAGAGAAAATTGTGTGGAATCATCTAAATGTGTATCTAAATCATCTAAATGTGTATGTGGAATCATCTGACATGTGTAATGGCACCCCCAGGATACAAAGGGCCATTGTCTCATTAGTCACTCTTTGATGACATCATATTGCACTTTGAATAAAATTAGAACTCCTCCACTCTGGCTTACAAAGGGCATCTGCCCAAGCTCTTGCCCACTCTCCAGCCCCATCTATGCTGTCCCCTAACTGGAACACTTCGGCCCCTACTTGATTCAGGTGTTGCCTATCCTGGGGTCTCTTCCCAAACCTTCCCAAACAGGAAGATCCCTTCCCTCTTCCTATCATATCTGGAACAGGCTTCCATCTGAGCAATGATTTTCTTGCATTTCTGTTCATCTAAACCATGATTTTCTTGTATTTTGATGAGCCCCATGAAATTGTCACTTTTGTCAACATGTTGGCACTTTCATATGGCTCACCTAATATTATTATAACAGCTGAATAAGTCACTCTCCTGACACTTAACTCGTACCTGCTGCACACCCATTCCTGACTGTCCCTGCTGCACACCCATTCTTCAAAAATCATCAGGACAGTAAAGGAGGAAAGGTTTGGAACCAGACAGACCAGATTTGAATCCCAGCTCCATTCTAGTTTTATCTGTAATGACCTCAGGCCATTAGTGTGATCTCTCCAAGCCTCAGTTTTCTCATAAGTGAAATTCAGGTATATTAAATAGCAATGTTATTAACCAGCAAGTGGTGGCTACTTAACAGGACTAGTGTGAGAATTAGGATACATGCTGAAGCCAGAGTTGTGGCTACTGCACTGACAAAGGTATGGGAGATGGGCACTGGGGGGAGGGAAGGCTACCTAGAAACAGCTATCAAAACTTTACCTGTACACACCCTTGGTAGCAAGTGCTGTTGGTGCCCTGCCCAGATCCCTGTGGACCTTGCCAGGGGAGCATAGCCTCATCAGTCAGACTTCCAACTAGCAGCACCTGTTATCTCTTTCTCTGACCACCAGAGCCCACTCTGTCCTCATTCAGGGCAGGCCAGAAGTGCCAGAGAATTAATGACCCCCTTCCCCACCAAGAGCAGACCTCAGCCAATAACTGCAGAATTGGTGGACAGTTCTCTTGAACAACACAGGTTTGAATTGCACAGGTCCACTTTTATGTGGATTTTTTCCAATGAAGATACATATAGTACTGTAAATGTATTTTCTCTTCATTATGATTTTCTTTTTCTTAAATTTTTTTTAATTTTTATTTTAAATAGGCTCCATGCCCAACATAGAACTTGGACTCATGACCCTAAGGTCAGGAGTCTCATGCTCTACTGATTGAGCCAGCCAGGCACCCCTTCCTTGTGATTTTCTTAATAACATTTTCTTTTCTCTAGCTTACTTTATTATAAGAATACATAAAATAATACAATATAATACATACAATATGTAAATTATGTGTTGACTATTTATGTTATGTCAGTAAGACTTAGTAATTAAGTTTTGGGGGAGTCAAAAGTCATACATGGGTTTTCAACTGTGTGAGGGGTCAGTGCCCCTAACCTCCGCGTTGTTCAAAGGTCAACTATACATATTTCATCTCCTTCTGTCTTCAAGTGGGTCAATGTTGAGGTGTGCATTCTACACTGTCTCCCAGAAATCCCAGTAGGGTTATGCTCCAAGGGTTCAGAGTGGTCCCTCTTGAAAATGGATGACTTTCCTGGATGTCTTTCCTTCCCAGCTCACATCCCTCCCCTATTTCTTGGGGCCACTGTTAAATAAACTTCTTTCACTCAAATTCTTATCTTGAATTTGTTTCTGGGAGAACCCAAACTTCTGAGAATATATCCTATAAATTATCTTTACACATATGCAAAAATTACATATATTCAATTTATTAATTCATCATTGTTTGTAGTTGCAAGAGGTTGGAAATAATATACCGAAAAGAAACTGGTTAAATACAGCATGATCTTTCCATACAATGGGATACTACACAGCTGTATAAAAGAATGAAAAAAAAAATGCTTTGTCTTGATATAAAACATCGAAGCCATATTGATGAATAAAGCAATATGCAAAACAGTATAAATAACACCTATTACCATTTGTGTAAAAAAGCTTATGTGTGTGTGTTTGCATATGCTTAAAATCTTTGTGAAGAAGACCCCAAAACACATAACCTTATAACCCCTTAGGAAGGACTTGAATGGCTAGGGGGACCAGGATGGAAGGGAAAATTTTCATCATTCATGCTTGGACAACTTTTGATTTTTGTTCTGTCGATGGGTTTACCCTTCCAAAAAATAAAAGTAATATTAAAATAATAAGTAAATGCATACATAAAAGGAGGTGCACCATTGCTCATTGGACCTTATGTAGCTCTAGTATGGAATGGAATGAGTGGACAGGCTCCTGGTGGCTAATCAGATCCTGGCTCCATCACAGCTCCTCCATGTGGTCTTGATCCAGCTGCAAAGCATCTTGCAGATATGTGTCCTCACCCATGAAAGAAGGTCTTGCTTCCTTCAGCAGGAACAGGATCTGTTACATTTCCCTTTATCTTCACCCACAAAATCTGCCATCACTTCTGTCAAGAGGAAGGCCCAATGGCACCTTCGCCCACACACAAAGAAGCCTAATCAATTCTCTTCTGCATGAGAGGTTGTACTGACAGCACTCATCCCCATGCAAAAGACATCTGAGTCACACACACAACTCATGCACATTCTTGCACACACACTTGCACAAACACACACACACATGAATGGAAACCCAAGCAGTTCTTTTTCGACTGAGATGTTACCACCCCACTCTCCTAATAGCAGAGTCTGCCCAACAGCCTGGGGACCTGCATGCTGGTCTAACCAGAATCCTACTTGCTGCAGGAGATGCCACTCAATGGGGAAGGAGCTGTTACTGGGGCTGGGCATTGGGACCAGCTTCACTCATCATGTCCTTGTACTGCCGTTTGAAGAAGCCAAGCTGTGGAGGCAAAGACAGAGGAGTAAGGGCCACCAAAGTCAGGGAAGTGGTGAAGGCCATGCAGAACAGGAGGGGAGACATAGGGGCCAGGAGGCACAAAGAATAATGTGACAGAGTGTAAAGAGACCTGGGGAAAGTGGGGCAGAGAAAGAGATGGCTTTGATGTTAGAGTCAGGAAAGTGAAAATAAATAAAACATACAAGAAGGATTAATCCTTACATAGTGGTCATTCTGTACCAGGGACCATTCTAAGTACACTACATATATATTAACCCAATTACCTTCACAAAGTAGTATTTATATTCTCATTTCATAGCTGAAGAAACTAAGACTCTGTGACTTGGTGTGAGTTGAACCCAATAATGAGTTGCTGAGTAAGGAGCAGTGAGGATAGAGGAGAGCAAACAGGAAGAGGGGATACCTTGTACAGTCCAGCGGTGATGAGGGCCAGAAGCACCAGCCCCCCCACTGAGCTGCCCACTATAAGTGGTACAGGGTTGTGCACTTCATTTGGCTCCACTTTGGTTTCTATCTGTAGCAGGGGGAGGGAGGGTACATCAGGGGAACCCCAAATTTCTAGGGGTTCCCCAGTCAGACCTTCTGCCCCCACTTAACCCAATGACTGGCCCCTCCCTCTGCCCTCACTCCTCCTCCCACTCCTCCTCCTCTGTCTCTTTCTAGCTCTTTACCCAGAGATCTCCACAAGCCCAGCCTCAGCTCCTACCTCCAATAGTCCCTCTGTGCCAAAGATAGATACCTGGGCCCTCAGAAATGCCTCCTGTCCTGGAAGCAGGGCAAACTTCGAATCATCATACAAGACCTCTGCCGTGGTCACAACCTGAAGGTAGTTTGCTGAAGTCTACAGGAGAGAGTAGATTGAATCTGGACCCATGGGCCCTCTGAAATATCATGTCCATGCCCAGCTGAGTCCTGTCCTTCACATACCTTGATATACCAGTCAAATGAGAGTTTGCCTTGGAGGGTAATGTTGACTTTTTCCTGGATGCTGAAGGATGGGATGTCACACTGGATTCTCTGGCAGACAGCAATGGAGCAGTTCTGGGGAAGGGAATAAAGGGGAGAAGTGACTAAAGAAATTGGATGCAAAAATGCTCATGCACCCAACCCACTCAGTTGACAGATGGTATTGAGCATCAACAAGGGGACAGTGCTGGGTCTGGCTTATTCTTACCACCACTGGGGCCCTCTTAAGCTCTGCCATGAAGTCAGAGAGAGGGGGAGAATTCTCCGTGGTGTTGCATGTTCTGGAGAGGTTCTGAGGAAAAGAGACACCATGAGAATAGAGAGAAATGAGGGCTTGTGAATCCAGGCTTAAGGAGGCTGAAATGGCCTAAGTCCAGGAGAAGGTCAAAGTCTCTCCAAAATAAAACAGAGATTTTAGGAAAGACAGGGGCTATGGAGGGAGGAGTCAGGACACTTCTCAAGCCCAGCTAGGCTTACCTGGGAAAGGGTGACCTGGAGGTTGTCCCACACAGCCACCTGGTTCAGCTTGATAGGCACCCAGAAGACCACAATGATGGGGAGGCTCCTCTGTCCCAAGTTGTTGACCTGCACAGTGGGAAGAAGGCAGTGGACTTCAGAGCTCTGGCCTTTCCACTTACACCAGCAACCAGAATCAGTCTTCCCACTCCTGACACCCCAGTACACTTAAATAAGGCCTCACAGACCCAAGCAGCCTGCCTCTTGATGCTTTCTGGGATGCAGTAAATTGTAGCACTTAAACACACATTCAAGACCCAGATAGGTTGGTAATAAGTGGTGTCTCTTCCACTTACTAGTGGGGACACTGTGGCCATGTTCTGTTAACTTCTCTGAGCCTCAGTTTCTCCATCTGTGAACTGGAGATAATGATAGTGCCTCCTTCAAAGACTCATTGTAAGGATAAAATGAGGTGTGTGTGTGTGTGTGTGTGTGTGTGTGTGTGTGTGTGGTTCTGTGTGTATAGGGTGAAAGTAAACTTGGAACAGAGCCCAGAATATAGTAGGCATGTTTCCCATCATTATTTCCCATTATTGCATTCCCAGCACATTGATTTCCCTCCCTGTCATCCTTCTCAGCTCCCCACCTCATACTGGTGCTTTATACTGTGGCTGGTCTTCTCTGAGGCTATGAAGCTGAGATATTTGGTGGAGACTTCATGGCTGATGGGAGAAAGAAGAAAGTACAGGAGGTGTCAGGACATCAGAGGTGTCCTGAGAAGGAGTCTTGGGCTAAGTATGTAAGGGAGTGAACAAGTACATGGGTAATGCTGTCCTGAGAAGGTGCCAGTGGGGCGGTAAGCAGGGGGGGATGTGTGTCAGACACACAGGATGTGCTAGCTTGGGTTACACACACACATATGCACACAGGCACAAATACACTCCCAGGCACATATAAACACATATACACAGGCACTCGTGTGCATAGACTCACACACACAAATACACAATGCGTCATGTCCAGCATAATGGTAAAGGCAGAGCTAAAGCCCTAGAATCCAGCACCTGGTGACCACCACGAAGACAGTGTATTTCACAGGCAACTCCAGTTGGAATTCAGTTTTGTTGGTCTTAGTTGTGTTGTTCTCACTAAAGGGAAACAGAGAGCTTTCCTGTGTATATTTCCACTAAATTATAATCTCTGTAAGGGCAGGAACCACAGCTGTCTTGTCCATCACTGTCTCACCAGCACCTGGTACATGGTGAGTGCTCAGTTGGTATTTATTGAATGAATGAATAAATAACTGACTAAGCTGAGGAGAGAACCAGTGGGGAGAGGGCAGTGGTCCATCCTGGGCAGGGGGTTGGGGCCTCAAAACGGGTAAGATAGGCACAGCACACCTGGTCACATTGGCCTTGAGTAGTAGTCTGTTTCCAAAGAAAGCATCAGATTCCACACCAAATGTGATATTAAAGGTGATCTGGAGTTAGAGAGAGGAGAGACAGTGAAAAGAATAGAAGAAACAACTTAAATGTCTATCAACTAAAGAATGGATAAATAAAATGTGGTGCTTCCATACAACAGGATACTATGCAACAGTAAAAAGAAATAAAATATTGATAGATGCTGCAAATATACATGAGAAGTGTCCAGAATAGGTGAACCTAGAGACAGAAAATACATTAGTGGTTGCCTAGGACTTGGAGAAATGAGAGGACTAGAATTGATGGCTGAGGAGAGCAGCGTCTTTTCTCGAGGTAATAAAATATTCTAAAATTGATCATGGTGATGAATATGTAACTCTGTGAACATACTAAAAAGCCACCCAATTGTCTGCTTGAAATAGGTGAATTGTATGGTATACGAATTGTATCTCAGTAAATCTATTTTTCAAAACAAAAAAAGGAGCCTCTATTTTTAAAAAATAAGAAAAGAATTCAGAAAAAGACAAAAGAGAAAGGGAGAGGGGGACAGCAGCCTGACCTCTGAGTAGTTTGGGAAGATGGGGTGGCTTATGTTGCAGCTGCTATTCTTCAAAGCTTCGGGCCCATTGGTGGAGTCTTCAGACTCACAAGTCAGGCGCCATGGTCGCTGTGAGCGCTGCTTCTGGAAGGCAAGGGAGACAGAGATGATGATGTGAACCAGAACCTGTGGGGACAAGGAAAGCAAAGTCAGAGCCTGAGAAGGATTTGACTACCTGGGTCACTGACATCCTCCTATAGGACAGGCCAGGTGGGTAGAAGAAGGTAACTTGAGTCCTGTAGGAGTCCTCGCCCTGGTTTCTCACAGTCAATGTCACATTCAGGTCTCGGGGACCACCCACCACCAGGGTATCCAGACTGTGGAAAGAACAAGCCAGGCCGTGAGATGCTGAGTCCCTCCATGTGGCAAGTCTACTCTGGTGGCACAGACTCTTGGAGAGAGAACGACAGTGGATGGGGCAACCACACAAACACCTCCAAAGCAGCTGCTCTGTTCCAGGCTCCCTCAGAGGCCAGAACAGAGCACCAGGTTGTGGTGCAGGTTTTCAGGTAGCAGTGAGGAAAAGAAACTCACCCCATAAAAGTGAAGGTGATGCTAAGGTCATCATGGCAAATGTTGTCACTGCCACAATTCTGCTCAAAAGGAAACTACAAAAAAATAAAGTATGATGAAAGAAAAGGAAAGAATAAAATGAAACAATAAAATATTGAGCTAGAGTGTATTATGCTAAGTAAAATAGGTCAATCAGAGAAAGACAAATACCAAATGATTTCACTTATATGTGGAACTTAAAAAAAAAACAGATGAGCATATGGGAAGGGGATAGGGAGAGAAGAGAGGGAAACAAATCACAAGACAATCTTAATGACAGAGAATAAACTGAGGGTTGATGGAGGGAAGTGAGTGGGAGATGGACTAGAAGGGTCATGGGTATTAAGGAGGGAACTTGTTGTGATGAGCACTGGATGTTGTATGTAAGTGATGAATCACTCAATTATACTCCTGAAACCAATATTGCACTGTATGTTAACTAAAATTTAAGTCAAAATAAAATAAAATATTGAAATAAAATTATGTGAAATGAAATAAAATGTTCTTCAACAATCTTGGCCTCTGGTGTCTTCCATGACCCTGAAGGACCCCAACTCCAGAACTCACCGAAGCTGTGAAGAGTCTCTGAGCATCCACAGCCAGCACTGGCTGGAGGTTCCCGAATAAGGACAAGGGTTTCCCCACCAGAGAGAAGTTGAAGTGCAGGATGATGGGGTTCACTGAATCCTCTACACAATACTGAGAGATAGTAGGGGGTTTAAGGGTTTGCCCTCCTTAGATTCCCAAACCCACCCCATGCATGGAGGACCCAGGAGTGTGGCCAACCCTTGCTCACCGGTAACAGTAGCTTTAGGGTCTCACATTCTTGATTCAGCTTCAAGATTCTTGTCTGTCTGCGTGTGCTGTTCTTTGTCTCATCAAAGACAACTCGGGGATGTGGGAGAGTTGGCTCCAGAGCCAAGTCATATGTGATGTTGCTCTGAATCTCTCCTGAAGGGGCAGGGCAGCATGGTAGTGAGGATCCCAGCTTTGGAGTCAGACAAGCATGAGTTTGAGGCCCAACTCTACTTTGGGCATGCTACCTGACCTCTTTGAGTCTCCATTCCTTATTTTTTTAATTTTTTTAAGAGAGAGAGAGAACACAAGGGAGGGGCAGAGAGGGAGAGAGAGAATACGAAGCAGGTTCCATGCTGTCAGCACAGAGCCAGCTGGTTCGAACTCACAAACCTTGATATCATGACCTGAGCCCAAGTCAAGAGTTGGATGCTTAACCGACTGAGCCACCCAGGCACCCTGTCCATTCTTTATTTTTAAGTTGAGGAAAATAATTGTACCTTCTCAGTGGTGAAAATGAAATGAAATAGTGTCTATAAAGCATTTATCACAGTCCTGCCACACAGAAAGTACTCAAAAAATAGTAGCTATTCTGTTACACACTAGAAAACTAAGTATATTTTTCTGGTTGCGTTTAACTTCTTTCTCTTTGTCATTGGCATTCAGTAATTTGTGCCTTGGAATGGTACAATGTATGTCATATACATTGGTATAATGTACTATGGTATGGTTTCCTTTATATTTATCTTGCTTTGTTTTGGCAGAGAATCTTGATGTCTTTCACTAGTTTAAAAAAAATTGTTACTGGGAACCCTGGGTGGCTCAGTCAGTTAAGGGTATAACGCTTGATTTTGACTCAGGTCATGATTTCACATGAGCCCCACTTCAGGCTTATACTGACAGCTTGGAGTCTGCTTGGGATTCTCTCTCTCCTCTCTGCCTCTCCCCCTGCTTGTGCTCTCTCTGTCTCTCTCTGTCTCTCTCTCTCTCTCAAAATAAGTAAATAAATTTAAATAAAAAAAGAAAAAATTTTCCCTCTATTTTGTTGCTTCTTTCTTATTCTCTCTCTTCTTTCAATTTCAAATTACGTTTATTAAATTTTTCACCATGCTCCATATGTCTTACGATTTTTTTCTGTATTTTTCATCCTCTTTTCTCTGTGTGTGTTAATCTAAATACTCTCAATTGATTTACCTTCCAGTTCACTAATTCTTTTTTCCACTTTGAACCTACTATCAAATCTATTTATTGAATTCTTAATTTAAGTCAGGGTATTTTTCAGTTCTATAGTTTCCATTTTACTCTATTTTATGAATTCCAGGTCTTTTCTGAAGTTCTCCATCATTTTCTCTTTTTTTCTTGAAGATATTAACTGTAGTTGTTTTTTTAGATTCCTAATAACTCCAATTTCTGAATCACCTGTGGGTCTATTTCTATTGTCTATTGTTTCTCTTAGTTGCTGGTCTGAATACACATTGTTCCAATAGAAAGACCAAGTTGCTTACCAATACCCCTCTCAAATTTCTGTTTCCCCAGCACTAGGGAGCTGAACTTCTATACAACTCTTTGGCTGCTGTCTTCTACTGAGTTTCTTAGATTATTGATCTAGACATACATTGCTGATGAAGTCAGCCTATGACTTGAGAGGAATTTATATGTAGGTTTGGGGGCACCTTCTACATGATTCTCTACTCTCCAACACTTTTATATTAATGTCTAGCCATGCAAGCTGTCTCCTCAGCCTAGTAAGATTACTGTTAGAAACCTAATTTTATTCCCTCATTTCTCTCTAGTACCATCATTATAATTCCCCCACACCCAGCACAATGCCACTCTTTCAGATTAGAGACAAGGAGAAAGTCAAGTTAGTTGTGATAAAATGCCATGCCTAAATGTTTTCTGAACTTGTGTTTAGCTTCATCAACTCAACCTGCCCTTTAAATGAGTTATCTCTTGACTTAAAAAAAAATCCTGGTTATTTCACAGATGTGGGGCCATTGTTTCTCTGGAGAACTGAGAGAATAAAGGAGTGCCACATGCTCACTTCTGGTGAGGTTTTCTGGGCCTCTGTACCCAGTCAGGGAACTGTCTTCTCACTCCAGCCAAGCTTCGAAAAGGCTGTAGAAGCCTGTGGAAGTTTGCTCTGGACTGCCAGAAGGCTGGGAAGACTGCACTGGGACACCCATCAATATCTCCAGTTATTTAACCCTTTCAGACTTACCTACCCAGCCTCACCTTCTCTTAGCCTGTCCCGTGTATTCTTGCGGACACGAAGGCAAACTCTAACCTCCCCAGCAGTCTGACCTTTCACCACCTTTGCACGACATTCAAACACATTCCTTGCCACTTCTTTGGGTGTGAACTCCATGGTCACCTCAAGTCTCAGCACAGGCTGGGATCTGTAGGGACACCAGAGGACCATCAGGGGCCTTCAGACAGCAAAGCCACTCCTGAAAGGGAAGATATTTGGTGTGCTATAAAAGAATTTCTTACCTAAGCAGCAGTACATGGCCTTGAGCTCCTATAGCCAGGTCCACCAGTCCATCCATTGTGAGGTCCTGGCCCCCACTCAGTGACTGACCAAAATATTGTAGTGTGGGGGAGAGCTGGGAGCCTTCAATCCGCTGAAGGTAGAAAAGAGGAGAGAAAGAGAGTGGGAAAGAATAGGGAAGTGTGTAACTCGGTTACCCAGAATGACCCAAGAGGACAGATTGTCTGGGTTCCACTCAAGTCTCATCTCTTATAACTTCTCAAGGAATTAGGGCAACCATTCAGCTTTAGACCACAGCCTTGAGATGATACCCAAAGTTTCCATCAATCACCTAGGTTTTCCAGGACAAACTTTTACAGGAAAGAAATTACAGGGGCACCTGGGTGGTTGGATGTCCAACACTTGATTTTGGCTCAGGTCAAGATCTCACAGTTCGTGGGACTGAACCCCACGCCAGGCTCTGTGGTGACCATGTGGAGCCTGTTTGACATTCTCTCTCCCTCTCCCTCTGCCCCTCCCCTGCTCATGTTCTCTCTCTATCTCTATCTCTCTCTCTCAAAATGATGAAACTTCTAAAAAAAACTTTTAAAAAAAGGAAAGAAGTGACATAGCATGCTATTTGACTCACCTAATATCATTGACATGTCAAAATAATGCAAACACTGAATATCAATCTACCAAAATTCTCATATAAATGTAAGGAGTGGGGCAAAGAGGTGAAAGGGCCAAGGGGGCAAGCCCTCTGAAAGAGAGCTCACCTCTCATAGAGGGAAGTCAATGCTAAAATAAAAGTCAAGAAGCAGCAAAATAATCATCTTATTGGGGAGTATAGACAATAATTGAAAAATCTGAAATAAAGTTTCCTCAAGAGAAGGGAAAATGAAGAGGAAGTTGCAGTGTGAGTGTGGTGATTGTTATTTTTCATAATGAGATATAAGAACAATTTTTACTCTTTAATCTATGTGCAAGAATAACACTGAAAGAATAACAACCAAATAAAAAGAAAATTTCAAAGTCATCTTGTCATGTACTTAATGCCACTGAATTTTACACTTAAAATGGTTAAAATGAAAACTTTTATGTAATATATATTTTACCACATTTTTTACAAATTTTGTTAACTGAAAGGAAGGATGAGGAAGCATGGGATGCTGGATATATGCTATATCTAAATCTACATGGTGCTTACTTGGGTTCACAGATATGTGAAAATTCATCACTTAAGATTTATGTGTTTAGTGTATGTATATTATACCTCAACGTTTTTTGAGAAAAATTTATTGTATTCTGTTTGGAGGAAGTTTTGTTTTGTCATTAGCTATAAAGTAAAATTACACAGTTGGGAGATTCACAGCATATTTACTTATCCAAACACTGACCAACCTTATCCTCAATCATAAAGAAAAAAGCAAGTAAAAAAATACATACAGTAGAAAAGGATAAGATAGTAAACAGTAGAAAAGGAGAGGATAATCCTTTTGGCATTTGTTTTTAATTCCTGGGTCTGTGGGGTGTGTGTGTGTGTGTGTATGTGTGTGTGTACATATAAAGCACCCTCCACTTACCTTTGTTTTCCTTTGCAAAGTGAGTTATGATGCAGATAAGGAGAGGGAACTAGGGCTTTCACTGTTTACTTTAGATTAATAAATTTATACGAGCATGTCAAGGTTTTATAATAAAATAAAGTAAAATCAGAGCCTTCGCACTGCATTGACACAGAGAAGCAACAGGTGTCAGAGAAAAGAGGCCTAATTACAATATTCATACAATTGTGTGTGGAAAAAGGCTCCCTGGTGCAGAGAGAAGTGGGTTAGGCAGTGCTTCTTATCCCTGGCAGCAACTAACAAGTGTCTTAAAAATACTGGGGCCTGGGGCGCCTGGGTGGCGCAGTCGGTTAAGCGTCCGACTTCAGCCAGGTCATGATCTCGCGGTCCGTGAGTTCGAGCCCCGCGTCGGGCTCTGGGCTGATGGCTCAGAGCCTGGAGCCTGTTTCCGATTCTGTGTCTCCCTCTCTCTCTGCCCCTCCCCCGTTCATGCTCTGTCTCTCTCTGTCCCAAAAATAAATAAAAAACGTTGAAAAAAAATTTAAAAAAAAAATACTGGGGCCTGCATCTCATTCTATTCCATTTATATGAAATTCTATAATGGGCAAAACTCATTTATGGTGGAAAATAATCAGGACAGTGCTTTCCTCTGGAATGGAGTGGGGTCAGAAATTAACTGGAAAGGGGCAGGAGGGAACTTTCTGGAGTGGCGATTATGTTCTATATCTTGATAAGGGTGTGGGTTACACATGTGTATGCATTTAACAAAATCACTGAGTGGCAAAGGATTTGCACATTTCCTGTCTGTAAACTTTATCCTAAAACAACAGTAAGCAAATATTGAATTCTAGTTAATGATAAACATACTGAACTATTTAGGGGCATTGCAACTTATTTTGAATTAGAATTTTAAAATTCATTAAAAATAAGATGGACAATGGCACTGGGTGGCTTAGTCAGTTAAGCATATGACTCTTGGTTTTGGCTCAGGTCATGATCTCATAATTTGTGAGTTCAAACCCCATGTCAGGCTCCACGCTGACAGCACAGAGTCTGCTTGAGATTCTCTCTCTCTCTCTTTCTCTCTGCCCTTCCCCTGCTCATGTGCACACACACTTTCTCTCTAAACAAAAACTTTTTTAAAAAAGTAGTTTAAAACAACAAGATGGACTGATGGATGGATAGAAGTAGGATGAATAAAAGGTTTGATCTGTGGTAACATAAATTTAGTCAAATGTTCATTGTAGATTCTAGGTTGTAAATATATGGGTGTTCACTGTACAATTCCTTCACTTTGTTGTGAATTTGAAATTTTTCTAAATAGTGCTGGAAAACTCTACTGATAGCTGGCACACTGCCCCAGACCAATTAAACTGGAGCTCTTATTAGCAGAGCCCAGGCATCTGTGCCTTTTAAGACCTTAAAGTAATTTTATTTTTTTACTGTTTATTTTTTTTTTGAGAGACAGAGACAGAGCATGAATGAGGGAGGGACAGAGAGAGAGAGGGAGACACATAATCCAAAGCAGTCTCCAAGCTCTGAGCTGTCAACACAGAGCCCAATGCAGGGCTTGAACCCACAAACCGTGAGATCATGACCTGAACTGAAGTTGGACACTTAGCTAACTGAGCCATCTAGGTGTCCCAAGGCCTTCAAGTAATTTTAATGCGTTCATAGGATTGAAACTCTGGTGTGAGGGATTTGGTAGAAGCGATGGGGGACAGAGAGAAAAAGAACATAAGAAAAAGGTAAGGCTGGAAAAAAGTCAGAGATCCAAGGGTAGAAGACCAGATGGTCTCAGCTGGCAGTGATGGGAGAGAACCAGACTCTGGGATCCCTCCAAACAGTGGGCTCCATCTAGCAAGAAGCAAGGAGCCATTTTAGAGAGTAAACCAGTTGTGGTGACCAAGATTTCAGGTGACCAACCATCAAGATGGACTACATAATTTGCAGGACCCAGTACCAAAACAAAAAACAAAAAACAAAAAACAAAAAAACAAACAAAATGCAGAACACCCTGTTCAAAATTAAGAATTTCAAGACAGCATGAACAGAGCATTAAACCAAGTGCAGGGCCCTTCTGTGTGGCTGTATAGATCACCAACCCATGAACATGTAGTCCTGTAGGGTGACCAACTGTAGGGGTTTCCTGAGATTCAAGACTTTGAGCACTAAAACTGGGACAGATCTGAGCAAACCAGGACTACTGGTCACTCTACCAAGATTGAGATTCAGAAGAAAGGAAAGCCTGTATCCCAACACTCCCAGCCAACCACTTACTACCTCTGAGCCTTAATCTCCTCATCTGTGAAGATGGGGTGATTGTGCCCCCATGCACCTCCTATAGTTGTGGTAAGAATTTCTATGAAGTGTGTTATTATTTTTGAAGATTCTAAAAATCCAGTACTGGGAGAATTGATCTGGCAGCTCTGAGGATGCTGAATTCGAAAGGGAAAGGGGCACCTGTGTAACTCAGTTAAGTGCCCGACTTCGGTCATTATCTCACGGTTTGTGGGTTTGAGCCCTGTGTTGGGCTCTGTGCTGACGGCTCAGAGTCTAGAGCCTGCTTTGGTTTCTGTGTCTCCCTCTCTATGTCCCTCCCCCTCTCAAGAATAAATAAAACATTTTTTTTTTAATTTAAGAAAGAGACAGAGGGGCACCTGGGTGCCTCAGTCGGTTGAGCGCCAGACTTCGTCTCAGGTCATGATATCATGGTTCATGAGTTCAAGCCAAGCATGGGGCTCTATGCTGACAGTGCAGAGCCTGCTTGGGATTTTCTGTCCCCCTCTCTCTCTGCCTCTCCCCCCACTTTCTCTGTCTCTCTCTCTCAAAAATAAATAAACGTTAAAAAAGAAAGGAAGGACACCAAGGAAGAGAGAGAGAGAAAGAAACAAACAAGGAAAGAAAGAAAGAAAGAAAGAAAGAAAGAAAGAAAGAAAGAGAAAAGTACATATCAGCAAAGAGGCTACTGTCATGACAGGGACAGTGACCTGGCCTCACCTGGCTGTGGGAAGGGCTAATGCCCGGTCTTGAGGTTCCATGAAATAAGTAAACAGCACCCCGGTTCTCCTGCTCTCCTGGGGCCCCAATGGCCACATCTGTCAGCTTGTCTCCATTCACATCTCCCAGCGCTGTCAGGGCTGCCCCAAAGCGGCCCCAGGGGTGGCCCTGCACCCCATGGAGAACAGTCTCACACTGCCATCTAGCCCTCTGCTGAACAAAAACAGTGTCAGGTCCCAACCTGGACAACTCCCAGCTCATGCCCAAGCCCCACCCAGCCCAGACCCCATCAGCTACTCACCCCCCGAGGCAAGGGGCACACAGACACCTGGCCCCCCCTTGTCGGCTCATAGTAATGGGGGGCCCCAATAAGGACCAGGTCAGAGCTGCCATCTTTGTCCATGTCCACAGAGCAGAGGGAGGCCCCAAAGTAGGAGCCAATCTGAAAGAGATGAGTCCAGGATCACACATATATCTCTTGCCACCAAAATCAAAGTGTGAGTGTTTTCTTCCGGTGAAGAAAAATAATTTCAGCCAGGGAAAGCCCTTTGGAGCAGATGTGATCTTCCATATGATTCAAATTCTCATTTGAGTGTACTGCTAGCTAGAGAAAAATATAGAGTTGATGGGCATTGGCTGAGGATTTACCCCAAATGGTGTTCCAAGGAGATGATTAATACAGCAAAGAAGAAGTTGGATTGGAAACTACACAGAAAAGCCTGGAAGAGCACACAGGATATCTTTGCAATATATTGTAAATCTCTGTGGGTGGGGATGGGGATAAAAAATTCAAAGTTATTGTCCTGCTAGTAAGGAATCAACTGGCTTAGATTAAAAATAACTATTGCTACAGGATTTTTTTTGCATGATATTGAGAAGTACTGTCTATCTTTTAAAATAATTTTTAAAGTATGTTCTAAAAAATGTTTAATGTCAATATGTAGAATTCATCAACAAGATTCATCCTTTTATTCATTCATTCATTCATTCATTCAACAGAAAGTATTTGCTATTTGCTAAGCATAAGTCTGTGTAGTGGAAAAACAGTGTCCTCCAGAGCTCTCAGTACAGCAGAGTGGAGCAGAGGGAAATAGTAACAGATAAACAGGGAGGAATATTTAGCAATTTCAAACAGGGGCAAGTTCTAGGAAGGAAAAGCGCAGGGGATGTCACACATGACTCACTGCAATCTGATTTCTGCCCCACACACAATTGAAGGAGACCTCACTAATGTCCCAATAAAGGCATTTAAGCTTTAACCTAAAGTCAATAGGATTTTTTTGTCTTTAGGTTAAGTTGATTAGGGTATAACTGGCATACAATAAAGTTCAAGCTTTTTTTTTAAAAGAGAGAGAACACAATCAGGGGAGAAGGGCAGAGGAAGAGAGAGAGAGAGAAGCTTAACCAGGCTCCACACTCAGCGAGGAGCCCAACATGAAGCTCGATCCCACAACCCTGGGATCATGACCTGAGCTGAAATCAAGACTCTGACACTTAACCAACTGAGCCACCCAGACACGCCTATTTCAGCCTTTTTAGTATAGTTTTATAAGTTTTGAAAACACATAAAGTCATGTAACCACCACCAATGATCAAAATATATAAGTTTCACCACTCCCAAAATATTCCCTCATACCCTGCTGTAATCAACTGCTTCCTTCAAACACCAACTCCTGGTAACCACTGCTCGATTTTCTGTCCCTATAGTTTTGGCTTTTCCAGAATGTTATATATATGACATTATATAGTATGTAACCTTCCACGTCTGGCTCCTTTCACGTATAATAAAGCATTTAAGATGTAGTCATGTTGTTCTGTCTATCAGTAGTCCATTCCTTTAAATTTCCAGTATTTCTGATATTCCATTGTATGGATGTACCACAGTTTGTTGATTCATTTTCCAGTTGAGGGACACTTGGATTGTTTCTAGTTTTTGGCAATTATGAATACCACCAGTAGAAACATTCACATACAGTTTTTCATGTATACATCTCTTTTTATTTCTCTTACATAAATACCTAAAAGTGGGATTACTAATATGGTAACTGCATATTGAACTTTATAAGATATTGACAAACTGGTTCCAAAGTAGGCATGCCATTTTTCATTCAGATGGCAATGTTTTAGTTATTGCATACCCTTGCCAGTACTTGGTATTACCAATTTATTTCCTTATGTTAATCATTCTAATAAGTATGCAGTAGTATCTCATTGTGGTTTTAATTTGCATTTCCATAATGATTAATGACATGTGATTGCTAATCAGAGAGAACAGAGTTCCCATACTAGAGACTGGCTAGCTGGGTTATGCCATTTTCACCGCTCCCACGCATGAACAACAATCCACCCCAGTAGGCTAGCAGCGCCATCTAATGGAGAATGGAGATGTTACACTGAGTCCCGCCCAATTGGGTCAACCTCACTCTTCAAGAACACAAGTCTCACCGCCTGCTTAGTTCATGGACTATAAAGTGCTACATAGTCTAATGTATAGGGGAAAACAAAGTAATATCAGTCCTATTTCAATCTGTTAGTAGGTCCATCTGTTCAATTTTCTTTCTTTCTTTTTCTTTGTTTTTTCTCTTTTACACTATTCTTTTTCTTGAATAAAGAGAAAAAATTCATTTTTATTTTCAATTTCTATTAAATATATTTTTCTTTAATTTTTTACTATAGTTTTCATTTTTATGTAAGTTTTCTCAAATTCTATTTTACTTCCATCATTTTATTTTAGTCTACTACAGTGTACTCACTTTTTCAAATTTTCAAATGATTTTTTTCTCTTTTTTCTTTTTTGTTTCTTTTCTTTTTCTTGAATACATATAGAGAAAATTTCATTTTCATTTTTACTTCTTATTAAAAATGTTTTTGTTTAATTTTTTCCTACTATATTCTTTACTTTTGTGTAAAATTTTTCAAATTCCATTTTACTCCCATCATCTCATTTTAGCATACTTCACTGTATTCATTTTTTCAAATTCTCAAACGATTTCCTTCCCCTCACTTTTTTTCTCTAATCTGTCAAACCACTGTCAACACCCAGACCAAAACACACCTAGGATCTAGCATCATTTATTAGATGTGTGTGTGTGTGTGTGTGTGTTTTAATTTTTTAATTTTAATATTTTTAACTTTAATTTTTTATTTTAATTTTTCTACCTCATTAATTCATTTTCTCCATTCAAAATGACAAAATGAAGGAATTCACCCCAAAAGAAAGAGCATGAAGAAACAACAGCCAGGGATTTAACCAACACAGATACATGCAAAATGTCTGAACTAGAATTTACAATCACGATAATAAGAATACTAGATGGAGTCAAAAATAGATTAGAATCCCTTTCCGTGGAGATAAAATGAGTAAAAAAAAAAAATAGAATGAAATTAAAAATGCTATAACTGAGCTGCAATCATGGATGGATGCAGTGGCGCCAAGGATGGATGAGGCAGAACAGAGAACCAGCGATACAGAAGACAAACTTACAGGGAATAATGAAGTAGAAAAAAAGAAGGAGATTAAGGCAGAAGAGTATGATTTAAGAATAAGAGAAATCAGTGACTCATTAAAAAGTAACAACATCAGAATCATAGGGGTCCTAGAAGAGGAAGAGAAAGAAATAGCGGTAGAAGGGTTATGTGAGCAAATAATAGCAGAAAACTTTCCTAACCTGGGGAAAGACACAAATATCAAAATCCAGGAAGCACAGAGGACCCCCATTAGATTCAACAAAAACCGACCATCAAAAAGGCATATCATAGTCAAATTCACAAAATACTCAGGCAAGGAGAGAATCATGAAAGCAGCAAGGGAAAAAAAGTCCCTAACCTACAAGGGAAACAGATCAGGTTTGCAGCAGACCTATCCACAGAAACTTGGCAGGCCAGAAAGGAGTGGCAGGATATATTCAATGTGTTGAATCAGAAAAACATGCAGCCAAGAATTCTTTATCCAGCAAGGCTGTCATTCAAAATAGAAGGAGAGATAAAAAGTTCCCCAGACAAACAAAAGTTAAAGGAGATTGTAACCACTAAACCAGCCCTGCAAGAAATTTTAAGGGGGACTCTCTGAGGGGAGAAAAGATGGGGAAAAAAACATAGATAGATGATAGATAAATAAATAAATAAATAAATAAATAAATACCAAAAGCAACAAAGTTTAGAAAGGACCAGAAAACACCACCAGAAACTCCAACTCTACAAGCATCATAATGGCAATAAACTCATATATTTCAGTACTCATTCTAAACGTCAATGGACTCAATGCTCCAATCAAACGATATAGGGTAACAGAATGGATAATAAAACAAGATCCATCTATATGCTGTTTCCAAGACCCACTTTAGACCTAAAGACACCTTCAGATTGAAAATAAGGGGATGGACGGGGCGCCTGGGTGGCGCAGTCGGTTAAGCGTCCGGCTTCAGCCAGGTCACGATCTCACGGTCCGTGAGTTCGAGCCCTGCGTCAGGCTCTGGGCTGATGGCTTGGAGCCTGGAGCCTGTTTCCGATTCTGTGTCTCCCTCTCTCTCTGCCCCTCCCCCGTTCACGCTCTGTCTCTCTCTGTCCCAAAAATAAATAAAAATGTTGAAAAAAAATTTAAAAAAAAAAAAAGAAAATAAGGGGATGGAGAACCATCTATCATGCTAATGGTCAACAAAAAAAGCCAGAGTAGCCATACTTATATCAGACAATTTAGAATCTGCATCTAGAGATGCAGAAGGACATTATATCATAATCAAGGGGTCTATCCACCAAGAAGACCTAACAATTGTAAACATTTATGTGCCAAATGTGGAGGCACCCAAATATATAAATCAATGAATCACAAACATAAAGAAACTCATCAATAGTAATACCATAATAGTAGGAGACTTCAACACCCCACTCATAGCAATGGACAGATCGTGTAATCAAAAAATCAACAAGGAAACAATGGCTTTGAATGACACACTGGACCAGACGGACTTAACAGATATATTCAGAACATTTCTTCCCAAAGCAGTAGAATATACATTCTGCTCCAGTGCACTTGGAACTTTCTCCAGAATAGACCATATACTGGGACACAAATCAGCCCTAAGTAACTACAAAAAGATCGAGATCATATGGTGCATATTTTCAGACCACAATGCTATGAAACTTGAAATCAACCACAAGAAAAAATTTGGAAAGGTAACAAATACTTGGAGACTGAAGAACATCCTACTAAAGAATGAATGGGCTAACCAAGAAGTTAAAGAGGAAATTAAACAGTATATGGAAGTCAATGAAAATGATGACACCACCACCCAAAATCTCTGGGACGCAGCAAGGCGGTCATATGAGGAAAGTATATAGCAATCCAGGCCTTCCTAAAGAAGGAAGAAAGATCTCAGATACACAACCTAACCTTACGCCTTAAGGAGCTGGAAAATGAACAGCAAATAAAACCCCAAACCAGCA